ACTTAAAAACTATAAATGAAGAAAATAAAGAATTCCAAAAGAAACAAACCAGAATTAAAAAAACTTATGACTCAAAAAAAATGCTGTATTAATTTCAATCAACGTACCCAAATGCAATTTCGTGCATATTGGTTTTTCCAATTATGATAGCACCTTGATCTTTTAATTTTTTTACCAAAAATGCATCCCTTGAGGTAGGATTTTCTCGATTAATAAATGAGGTCCCCACATGTGTCTCATAACCTGAAACATCAATCTCGTCTTTAATCGCCACAGGAACACCATCAAGGGGTCCCAAGGGTCGATCCTGATTATATCGAGTAGTCGAAGCTTCAGCTTGAGCCATAATATCATCTTGGTGGTATAGATACATACCTAAATAGTCGATCATATCTTAAATATTTTAAATATATGGTTATAACTGATTACTTCAAAGCTTACCATAAAGAGGTGGGTCACATGCTTCAGAACATGATTGATTTATATTGTCGATTAATTTTTCGCATACCTTTTTTTATAATTCATTTGTAAATGAAAGTTATTACAGAATTATATTATGATTAAAACGATATAATGTTAGTTACGTACTTGTATAGGGGTAACTCTTTTGGCTGAATATGCTTCAGTAAAGTCACGTGCACATAAAAATTTTTGACATTCTGGAATTGGATTATATTCTTTATTTTTCTGGTCGAAAATTTCTAACCCATCGACTTTCTGTTATGAATAAAAACAATATTACGCTTTATTACATTTTGAAAATAATGAGAATCATAGTTAAGAACCTTTGGTTCTTCTATACTGAACACTTCTTTAGGTAAAGGTAATGGCATAATAGTCATGTCCTCTTTGAAGGATCTATTTCTCAAAGCAGCAACTTCATTATTCTGGAAAAAATAACTCGATAATCCGGGTACATATTCAAGTAAGAGCACCACAAGCCTTAGAGGTAAGCCGCTCATATATGGAACTACAAGCTGACGAGTATTCTGTTATAAAGAATTTATTAGAAAGTGATTGGAATTAGAAACATGAAAGACCAGTTATTACCTCTTGATCCTGATTATATTTTGAAGACATCATGCACTAATTTTAATCGTTAAAGACTATTATGTTTAAAATATACCTTCCACCTTTTATATGTAATAATTTTTGATTATCATTTTCTAAATGTGGTACGTACTATCATGCTTACCTAATTTATTTATACGTAGTCGTCATATAACTCCATATTTAGTTATTTGCCCAACTAGTAACGTGATAATTCAGATAGCGTGAGGAAATCAGGCAATGAATGATTCGTAGTTCAATCTTAAAATTTAAGAAAGTTACAGTGACTTTACATATAAACATTGATTAATTTAAGATAGGAGTAACGTAAGGTGATTCTTTAGTATGATTTCATGAAAAAGAGTAGGGTGTTGTAACTTGACAAATTCGAATATTTTTGATTTATTAGGCATTTATTATAAAAAGAATGTGGATTTATTTGGTCTTTATTTAGGAAGGAGTTTAAGAGTACCTATTATTCCCCCAACCAAGACAAGAGCATGCAGTTATATACTCTTATTTTATAGAGCTCTTACGTTATAATTAGAGCGTCTATGCTAATTTTTTAGCGCCTACGCTATTTTTTTAGCGTCGACACCAAGATCTCAGATTTTACGCTGAAAATTATCGTATATGCAGTTGTACATGTATTATCCTCATAAATACATAATACTGTAATATCTAAACTATCATTGACATCTGAAGTAATACCTGTCAAATTCCTAACACTAATGCTAATACAGTAAGTTCTAATTTTTATGATAAGGGCGTTACGGTCCGTCCTCGTTCAAATTGGTCCAAAAGACAGAGTACGGGTAGTAGACCGTGAAACGTGCTAAGTTCATAAACTAGTTTACTAATTGGTCTTAGTTCAGTCGAGTTAAGGATCTACTTTCTTTAATAGAATTAAAAAATTTAGACGAATATTCTGGGATTATTGTTCATCGAAAAAAAGTAATGATATTTTTGTAAAAAGTTCGATCCACACCCAAGTTATACAGAAAAAATTCATAAATTTATTATAACACTTAGAATGGTGCCACTTAGTAGATAGTTTCATATTTGCAAAAAACCTCATCTGTCCCTAAACTTCATAACCATAAGTCACTGCGCAACAGTTTGCACAATACCAGGAACGGGAATATGTTGTGTGAGAGATTTAGAGACCGCATTATATCATAAATCATTGTAATTTTAATGGGGTACGTTTTTTCTTTTTTTTTTTTTTTTTTTTTTATTGTAACTTACTTATTATTAATTATTCCGCTAAAGATGCAGGTTTAATTCTGTTGTGAGACCGGAAACGTGACCCGACGGCAGGCACGTGACCACATGACTCGGAAAATGCTAATTTGGGTTTCCCGCCCAGAAATCCCAGATCTGTCAGATATCCCAGATATGTCAGAACCGCCAGATCTGGAGGATTAGGTTCTAACATCGGGGTAATTTTTGGCTTATGTATCGATCAACGTCTACCCGGAGATTTTCTAGGTTATTTCTAAAATAGATAAATTATTTTGTTTCAGGATTTTCTTTGCGTCTGACAAGATTTTCATCAGATCATTGCATGATGACAATAGTTATCATAAAGATATTCTATTGTTGCCATCAATTGTGTTTCTGGATCTACAATATATTGTGTAGGTCGTAATCTTCTAATTTTTATTGTGAAGTACTCATTTCCTTTCTGAGTGAATTTATCTATTTCGTAGGAGTAGATATGGTTCGGTAACTTGCTCCATATTTCTGGTCGTATTCGTAATTCGTACAATGTAGGTATTTTTCCTACTGCTGTTACTACATTTAACCTATCTTTTGGTTCAAATATAGATAAGTATTTTATATCGTAATGGTCATTAATTATCTTGGTTATTAAGGTAATATGGTTTTTGAGGGTTATTTCGTAAGGATAAACATATTTTCGTTTTTCCATCTTCTTTCTTGAATAAAGCTAATTGTACTATTCTTCATAGTGGTAGGTTTATATTTTGTATTAGTGAATCCATTATTAACTGAAGATTTCTACATTTTCTGCAGTTATCAAAATATTCAGTTCTGTTATCATCATATGTTTCTTTGTAATCATGGAAAGTTGTATATTCTTTACAATTTTTGCATTTCCACATCCATTCTGATATACTCAGAATTGATGTTGATGTTGATTCTATTTTGGATTTCGTTTCGGATTTCTTGATTTATTTCTTCAATGATTTTTCGTGCTTATAACTCTATTCGATATTGTGTCGAATTATATCCTTTATTTTCTGCTCGTTGTCTACAACTTTTACAAGTTTTGAATGTCTTTCCTATAGAAGTGTATCCAAATTCTTCTTATTTTTGTGTTCTTTTGCACCTTGAACAGCATTGCTTTTTTGGTAAATTTTGGATTCTTTTTAATTTTTCTTCAGGGTTTCTTTTAGAATATGTTTTTTGCTTTTTCTTTTTTATTCTACAATTATTGCAGGTTTTATATACTTTTCCTGATGATTCTTTAAATGATTCTGGGTGTTCTAATATAGTTTTACAACTTGTACAGTATTGGCTTGTTGATATCTCTTGGTTCATTCATAATGTACCTTGTTATTTCCTTGTATGTATGAGAATTCTTGCCAGATTTTTATTTCTGCTTTGTTATTTGAATAATCAAAGTTGTCAAAGAATATTAGAATATAGTAGTCTTTTTCTATTGTAGTTGCTATAGAGTTTTCTGATTCTTTGGATTTTGTAATGTTTGTTAATTTCTTGTTTTCAATAAATGTTCCTTGATGAACAAGAATTTGTTGTGGTTCTTTTGTTGTAAGGTTTACTACAAAGTGTTCAATATCTGTGATTTCTTCTCTTAATAAAGAATAAGGATGAATTTCCTTATTATATGATATGAATATTTTGTCTCTTGTGATTTCTGATGTCTTTTCAAAGTATCCAAATGGTGTAGCAATAATACGTACTATTACTTTTCCGTGTTGAAATATTGATTCTTTAAATAATCGTATCTTTACAGTTATCTGTGATTTAATTATAGATATTACTGTAGTTTCTGGTTTAATATATATAGATTTGAATAGTTTTTCTATGTGCTACTCTAAATGCTTTAGTGGTGAGTGCTGTTTAAAGCTTTTTACGTAATAGTATATATTTACTAGTTCTCTAGAATATACTCTAGTAGTTTCTTTGTCAATTTCTGTTAGTGGGTTGTATATCAGAATCCCGACACACAAAATTCCGACACACAAAATCCTGGCAACAAAATCCCGATACACAAAATCCTGACAAATTAAAATCCTAAAAATATTAAAATTAGGAATTTCATTTGTCAGGATTTTGTGTATTGGGATTTTGTTGCCGGGATTTTGTGTGTCAGGATTTTGTGTATTGGGATTCTGATATACAACCCTGTTAGTGATGTTGTAGTGTCAGTATTTATCTGTAGGTTTGGAGTCAGTTTTGGTATTAATATTTGTTTTGCTTTTTCTTCCTTCAAAAGGTTCATTATCTGATATTCTACTTGTTGTATCAATTTCTTTAGTTCACTATGATATTGTTCTAAATATATTCGTTGAACTATTTCTGTTTCTTCTTTTTGATAGTTTTCTGTTTGATTAAGATATCAATAAAGATTTATATAATAATGTAATAATTCTTCTATTTCAGATTCTTGTTGCATTAATAGTATCTGAATTGTCCTGTAAGTAACTGTTCAACAGTTGGTTCAGGGATTTCATATCCACAATAATTGAATAAGCTTTCTGGTACAGTTTCTTTAATTAATGATTTTATCAAATCCAAATATTTTGTTTGATAATATTTTCTTTCACTTTTAGTATCTTATACTTCGTTTTCTTCAAATTTTAAATAATAATAATGAATAAGGTTGTTTAGAGTAATCCAATTCTTGTATCTCTTATTCTTATAGGCATTTTCAATTGTTAATGGTTGTTTTTCTATGATTTCAAATTCTTCTTGTATTTTTGGTAATTCATATTTTTCTGAAATGATGTTTAAATGTTTGAATCCTAGTTTCAGTTCATTAAGTGTTAAAATATATTTGTAGTGAGGTCCTTCAGAATATTGAAGTCTTTCTTTTAAAGGTAATCGTTTCTTCAAATAGATATACTTTTTTGTCAAATATTCTATTATATCATTGTAATTATTTTGGTTACTTAGTTCCATTAATTCGTAAGATTCATGTCTTAATAATTCTTCAAAGGCTTCAATCTTTACTAAGTAGCTTTTGTTAATTTCTTCTTCTTGTAATTCTGTGAATTCTTCTATTTGTTTTTGCCAGAATAATGAGCTGATACTCCTTGTTCCAAAAATTTTTTGGTTTTCTCATTTCTTTTCTTCAAATTCTTGTAATATGTTGTTATATTTTTCAAGAATCTTTTGATATAAAGAGATTATAGTTTTTCGATTTGGGTTTTCTTTTCACGGTTTATAAATTTCTTGGTAATATCTATTAAGGATTTCTGTAGACAATTCTTTTAATAGATTTTCTTTAATTTCTTTAATAGGTATTATTATAGGATTATATCCTAATCTTTTAGCTTTCTTTCGTAATTCTCGAATCTTTAACCAATTAACAGTGTTATTTGTATAACTTCTTTCTTTCCAAATTTCTCATAATGAAAGATATAAGATCTTTAATTTGTATTCTTCTTTTATTTCAATTATAGCTCTTTCTTGTAAGGTTAGCATCAAGTGCTTTTTCTTCTTTGCTTCAAAGGTGTTCTTTTATTTCTGATATTTCTTCAAAATATTTAAGTTCATCTTCTTTGTCTAAGACTATTGAAGCTCCTTCTTCCTATAATATATCTTCTGCTATAAATATAATATTATACAATACTGATTTTAAAGATATTGAAATATTGTGGCTTAGATTGATATCACATATTTGTTTAAATTGGTTTGCTGTTACTGTTAAAGTCATTTTGTATTTTTGCATTTCTGTAGTGGTTCTTGGTTGGTTAGAATTAAATCCTGTAAGTGATATTGCTAATTGCAAAGTTTTTAATATAGTTCCTAATCTTAAGTCATTTGTAGAGTTATATCTTGCTATTAAATTTGCAAGTGTTATTACAATATCTGAACAAATTTCTTCTACTGGTCTTTGAAATATTATTTCTTTGTGTGGGTTTATTTCTTTAAGATAAGTATTCCTTGGTTCCGGATAATGGTTCCAAAAGTATTTAAATTGCCAAAATTCAGAGTTTTCTAATACTGATCTAGTTATTTGTTCAGTATATGTATCCCAGATTCTTGAGTTTTCACTTGATATATCTGATTCATCAGCGTAATATTCTTCTGTTAAGGTTTCAGTTATAGGTTTCTTTTGGTAATAAATAGTTATTTTATATATAATATAATAAATTTCTTTTGAATATGATAATTTTTGGTTATTAGTCTTGTTTTTCGAGGTCATACTAAGTCTCTTAGTTTTTTTATTGTAGTACTATTCCTTCTAAGATTTCATTTAATCCTTCAATTTCTAATAGTAAATTATCAATTCCTAATTCAAATGGTAACGTATGATCTATTGTAAGATCTAAAGTTTGAAATAAAGTTTGTATCCTTGTTTTCAAAGATGTTCTTTGAATTGCTCGTAGGTTTAAAGATATTGATTCGAATATATATAAGAATTCAATATTCCTTTAAATATTCTTGAGTGCTTCAATTGTTGTATTTCTTCTTGATGTAATTATATTTTCAATTGCAGGATGTTCTTCTGGTTGATTATTAATTATTCTTGGTAGGTATACTGTTTATAAGTTTTCTATTTCAGTTGTTGTAACTTTTCTAGCAGTTACAGCTTTTTGGATTTTAATTAATTGTTGACTAAGTTTTTCAATAAATTGAGTAAGGGTTGTATCCATTAATTTTTCTTTGTTAATGTTGTTATTTCCTTTAGTCGTATCACAGTATTTGTGACTATTGATATGGTTACTACTATTGCTATTAATATAATTGTAAGTTGAATTGTTTGATTAAGTTGTTGAAATGGTTGTTCGAATGTTGCTAATGTAATATAAATATTGCTTATACAAGTTATTGTTATATTAAATACTGATATTGTTTGATTAGTGGTTACAATCTTAATAATTTCTTTCTTGTATATGTCCACGATTGCTTATTTCTTTATTTTTCTTATTTAGTTCTCTTTTAGATTGTGGTAGGTATACACAATCAATGTGATTCCTTGAACAACATAGACAGGTAGTTTCTTGATATTTTAAATAGCATACTTTCTTTAGTTGACAATTTGTACAGGCTATGGTTGCTTTTTTAATATTTTTTATTCGTATATTATAAGGTTATAAGGTATAGAATTGTTTGTTTTGTTTCTTGAGAATTTTTGTCCGTTTATATAACTTTTCTTTTCTATATATTTTATATTATATTAGTTTAAACTATATTTAATCTGATCCTTCAGAATTTCTTTGTGAAAATTCTTGAAATCTATGAAGTTCTTCGTTATAAGGTGGTAGAGTATCTAGCTCTGTTTTAGTTAGTGCATATTGATTCAGTGTTTGGGCTTTTTTTAGGGCTTCTACAAATATAGGGTAGTCAAATTGAAGGTTATAGAATGCTTGATGTCATGAAGTGGTTGCTTGTCTTTTCCGTAAGTCATGGTGATTATAATTTAATATTTGTTCTACTAATTGGTTTTCTTCAAGTGCTTCTACTTTTCTTTTCAGATTTTGAACTTGTTGTTTTAATTCCCTATTTTCTTTCTTTAATGTGGCTATGTCTAATAAGTTTCTTTCACTTAGGGGAAAGAATAGTCTTCGCATAAGTGCTTCCAATTGGTGTAATCATTCTTCAACACTTTCATTTTGGTTTTGTGATCCTTGATCATTTAGAGTATCATTATCTGTTATTTTTTCATCATTATCAGATAATTTTTCATGAGATATAATGCTTATTTCAGATTCATTATCGTATGCAGGATTTAATACAGTTATCAAATCTTTATTTCATTTCCACTTCCTTGTTGTAATTGTATCTCTTTGTTATTCTTTGATGATTCATAGTAATGAAGATAAAATTCTGATTTTTCAGGATCTAAATGATCTTGATTCGCCTGGAGAGTTTTGGTTATAACAATAGGGTTCTTTTGAGTTCCGATTAGTGATGTTTTATCTTCTGTAGAATCTTTTCTTTTTAATAGTTTCTTTGAGATTTCTTTGCATTCTTCATATTGTTCCATAATAGATACATTTGGTAACTGTTCTATTTTTTCTTCAATTATTTCATATATTGTCCACTAACCATTTTAGTTTTTTTCTTTGTATTTCATTTTCTTGGGTAAGGTGTGCTTTTCCAAGTTTTTCATTTTGCTTGATTACTTTACAAATTTGGCCTTTCTGTACTATACAATTATAATACCAAATATAGTGTTTTTCTACTACATCTGTTTCTTGGTTATATTCTCATTTCCATAACTTGTAATCTACATCATTTTGCCATTTTTCTAATTTTACTTTAGCTTCTTCTTTTTGTACATCTGTTAATCTATCTTGCATTTCTTTAAAGCATTCTGGACATGTTTCTCCTAATAGGTCTTTAGGTGAATAAATATAATAGCATTCTGAACATAATTGAGTTAATCCTCATTTTTCTGTTATCATCATAGCATTAGTTCTAGTTGCGTTTAGAGGATAATCCTTTTTCTTTTGTCCCTCTTGTTGGAATGAAGCTTCAAGAGCTTGACTTAAAGATGTCTCCATTACTTCGTATATGCTTTCATCTTTTGAATAAAGAGTTTCTTCTCTATAGTATTCTTCTATATCATCATAATTTTGGTAATTGTACTTATTGGTGATAGAGTTAAATTTCATTTGTCTTATCATTTCTTGGTTCTCAGGAGTGGTCCATTCTTCTTGAGAGTGGTTTTTGAGAAATTCGTAAAGTTTTAGTATTTTTGATTCATTTATTGCTTTGTTATTGTATACAGTTTTGGTATATTCTTGAATTCTCTTTGTTACTACTGTTTTTGTAGATTATCTATGACAATAAAACATTTCAAATGCTACTTTTTCTTCTTTGTTACAAAAGTAATTGTTAGTATAATTGTTTGTTATATGTCTCTTCCAATTTTCTTTTGAACAGATAGTACATTTCTTAAAGTTGGTTTTTCTTAATTTAGTTTCTTTATATTGTACTACTCATATGTCATCTATTGACAGGTATTCAATATATTCCTGGTAACATCTTTTGCAGACAATATGATCTTTAAATTGTTGTGTATGGTAGTCCAATGGATTAATATATGTTCACTCTGATAATAAAAATATATCCTTGGTAATAATGCTATAACAATCTTCATTACAACAGTGATAGATATTTTTCCCAGTCTTTCTAACTTTTTCTTTGCTACAACCGCATTTTAAAGTTTCATTTTCTTTAAGGAGTTTAGTTATTAATTTATCTAGGTCGATAAATTCTCCTTGTTCATTATATACTATTTCTTCTAAAGTTTCTTTTGGGGTTTCTGATCGTATTTCTGGTTGGATATCTTTTGAGCTTTCTTCTTTTGAGTCATAAGTTTTTTTAATTCTGGTTTGTTTCTTTTGGAATTCTTTATTTTCTTCATTTATAGTTTTTAAGT